TTTTTTGTACTGGGGATCGAACTCTGGTCCTTGCGCTTCCGCAGCAGGTGGCAAAACCATTGAGCTAAATCCCCGGCCCCAGTCTTTCCTTCTCTATGCCAGACCTGCAGGAACTTTCTTCTGAAGTCCCCACAACAAATCCACCTTATTCCACATGCTTATTCCTAAAGGTGTTGTGGGGGGGGAGGCACAGACTTCAGGGAGCCAGTGAGGAGAGGGCTCTTCTGTCCCTTGAGGGAATGCCAGGCACTGGGTGGGTGCCCTGTGGAGAAAGGACCAGGGCCCACGGACTACCCACATCCACATCTCCCATAGATCAAAGTTCCTGACCCCAGGATGAGGAATTACTGGAGTGAGTCAAGTTTTTCTTAAGAAAGGAGGGAACATGCCAGAGATTAGATACAAATCAGCCCTGGGAGGAAAGCAACCTCGAAATCATTAACCCAGAGGTCCAGGGCAGGAGGCGGGGTGTCAGAGATGTGAATTAATGGTTTACTCTGGACTACCTTTCCCTTTGGAAGGTGGGGAAATTACAAAAGGATCACACTGCATTCCTCCAATCTGAGATTTCCACACAGGCAAGTGTGGGTAATACCTTAGTCACCTATAGAGTTCTTGAATGTCCCTGCTCTCTTCCAGCGCACACGCCACTCCAGTTAGCTGGTCAGCAAACTGGGGTTCTGCACACCCACAGCACTCCAGCATACGCCTATCATGCAGCACCCACTGTGCGCTAGCCCTGGGTCCCCCACGGTTCTACAGACCCAGTGGAGGAGACAGGGCAGGGGTGTGGGCAGTATTACAATGCTTGGGCGCAGACGCAAGGAGAGATGCGTGCCAGGGAAGAGGAGCCATGCACAGGAGGGGTTCCAGGTATGGGCAGGAGTCTCGGGTCAGAAAAAGCTTCACAGAGGAACTGGGGGTTCTGAAGAATGAATTTGGTCAGGGACAGGGGTAAGGGAAAGGCTGGAGGAGGTACCCAGAGACATGGGGAGAGGGGATCAGGCTGTGGAAAGAATGCATCTCAAGTACACAGGCTTTGAAACGTCATGGTGTGTTGGGACAATTGCAAGTATGAGGTGTGATTAAAATATACGGTGAGGGTTTAAAATATGTATGATAGGAAAAGACACATTGCTGTGAATCCTCCTTAGAAGCACTGCCCCTTGCTTTGAACACATTTCTCCCACGGCTCCTGTCACTTTCTAAAGCAGTTCTGGAAGTCCTCTTTCCTGAGGATCTTTTACAAGACATGATAAAAAATACAAGGGCCGGGGATGTAGCTCAGTGGCACTGCGCCTGCCTTGCAAGCACACAGTCCTGACTTTGATCCCCGGTACCGCCAAAAA